CCCCAAGAGAGAGAGAGAGAGAGAGAGAGAGAGAGAGAGAGAGAGAGAGAGAGAGAGAGAGAGAGAGAGAAGCGAGAGACAACAAAGGGTCCCCTTCTCGTCAATTCGAGGCCCCCTGCAGGTACCTCGAATGGCTCCTACAATACATGTGGAGCCATTAAGGGCCAGCTTAAATGAGAAGGATGGCCTCGTCACGTGTGGAAAAGACGTGGGCAGACCACCAATATATGCTGTGGATTCGAGTTCAGGGCTGTAGCTCGGCAGTTATGGGTCACCAAKTCAGCTAGACCCTGTTCGTGTCTCCACGTGATTCTCAGGGCCTCCCTCCACCACTCACCAAATGTATATAATACTAGTAGAATGAATCTTCTGCCGAAACATGGAACCATGCACCGCCATATGCTATGTCTTTTGTGCAGTTGGTGAGTAGTGGAGCAGGCCCCACTGGACGTATCCGTAAGAAAACCAAAACAAAAAAACAAGAGAGCAGAATGAATCTTCTGCTGAAACATGGAACCATACACCGCCATATGCTATGTCTTTTGTGNGTGGAGCAGGCCCCACTGGAAGTATTCGTAAGAAAACAAAAACAAAAAAACGAAAGAGCAGAATGAATCTTCTGCTGAAACATGGAACCATACATTGCCATATGCTATGTCTATTGTGCATTTGGTGAGTAGTGGATCAGGCCCCACTGGACGTATTCGTAAGAAAACAAAAACAAAAAAACGAGAGAGCCACGGGCAGCTTCATCCTATCCCATAACTGCCGACATGCAGACCTGAATGCCAATCTTCAGCATATATTGGTGGTAGGCTGGCAATAGAACATCCAATTTGCGACTTCTGCAAAGCTTCGCAGGGCATGTCGTTATTAGGCGGCTACCCCTTCTTGCGAACCGACCCCACTACTGTGTGGGATTTGCAGAAGGCAGCGGGAAGGACATCTGTCATACCCCGCCTAAAACAAAAGTTGGAATGAGCCCTATTTTGTGCCTTGCCATTCGAAACTTTTTGGGGAAGGGCCTGCGGAAATCGAATTTTCAGCAGCCCTTACCCAAAAGAAAAGTTCGGGCCGTGGGCGCGGCCGGTTTGTGAACTTGCGCGGAGAGTTTAACATTTTTGCCGAGTTGGGGGCCCTAAGAAATTAGAAAACCCCTGCTTTTTTTTTCTTTTTTTTTTGGACCTAATTTTTCAAGTGCGCTGCGCTTCGGTGCGCGGCGCGACGTGCGCAAACCGTGCGCAAACCGGCGCACCGACGTGCGCCGCAACTATGATAAGGACTCATGACATTGCCCAGAGTTAGCAACACCGCTGAGAAAAATGGTCTGTGTGTGTGTGTGTGTGTGTGTGTGTGTGTGTGTGTGTGTGTGTGTAAATGTGTTCAAACTTCAAAATAAGTCGGATAATACAACTACAGCAGCGCGTGCCTCTGTGTGTGTGTGTGTGTGTGCGTGTGTGTGTGTGTGTGTGTGTGTGTGTGTGCGTGTGTGTGTGTGTGTGTGTGTGTTTTATCCGTACATCCGGACCTGTTCATTCATAACCGGACCATCCGGTTCTGTATGTCCGGATTAATCCAGACACGGGTCCGTGCCTGGTTTCCGGTGTCTGGATGTCCGGGTCCGGGGCAACCATGATATATTCTTAGATTTGTTTTTTTCTGAATTCGATTTTGGCCCGCCTGGGCAAGTGGTCCCAGGCCACTCTGGTAACACAGGTTAGGTTGTTTACACATTTTTCAATGATTTTTGGGTTTTTTGGGTTTTTTGGCTTTTCTTTGTTCTCAACTGTTCTGATATATGAGAATAAATCATACTTGCGGCGCACCGACCCTGTGCGCTGCGCGGTGCGCCGCGCGCTGTGCGGTGCACGGACCCGAGGTGCGCGCCACGCACCCGGGTGGGCAGTGCGCTGCGCTCAGGGCCGGTGCGCTGGGGGGTGCGCCCTGGCGGGGCGCAGG